CCCCCCCCCCCCTCGCCCCCCCCCCCCCTGCCGCTGACCAGGGCATCTCATTACTAAAGAAACTCAGGATTTCGGGTCATCGTCTCCCCTTGGGCTGGCCCGAAGCAGCGACTCCAGCGCGGCAGGTTCATGCTCGGCTGGGTTAGTGCTTGGCCCGGCTCCTCCAGCAGCCTGCACGCCGCCGAAAATATTATTAAACAGCTTCACCCTGCAGGGATTTGCCAAGAAAACCGAGCGAGAGACAGGAACACGCAGTGGGTGCCGTGCCAGCCTCAGGCTGGCGCAGCCGTGGGGATGTGGGAGCCTGGAGCCGAGCCCCCTGTCACCAGGCTCTGCAGCCCCCGGCCCCGCTCTCGGCAGCGGGAAGGAGCCTGGTGCTTGCTGGCCGGGGAGGATGAGGGTAGGTTGTGGAAGGGTCGGTGGTCACTGTGCTGGAACCAACCCGCTCTTCTCTGCTGGGCGGAACTGCCGCTTTCCTGATGGATGGCTTGGAAGGGCCTGTTTGGTGCTGGGCTCTGGTGGCTTTGCAAGGCTGAGGTCTGGATGGCTGCAGCCCTGGGCACTGCCAGGCTGCGGAGTGGAGCTCCCGTGCCATGCCATCCCATTTCATTTCATGCCATGCCATCCTGTCCTGTCCCATCCCATTCACATCACCCTATCCCATTCATGTCATCTCATCCCAATCTGATAAAATCAAAATGCCACAAGCCAGGGTTGTCGTGAGCCAGTACCGCGGTGCAAAGGGGAGGCTCTTTGTCATAGCGGGGGGTGTGTGTGTGTGTGTCCATGCCTCAGTTTTCCCACTGGAGCAGAGCGCAGCCTCAGGTCCTGCCTTGGGGGAAGGCTGAGCATTGTCCTGGGCTGAGGAGCCCCCATGTTGCTGTAGCTCAGCGTGACCCTGTTGCTTTCATAAAGCCCATCTGATGTCCCCAGCAGCCGCAGGGGGTGTTTCAGGTTGTCAGAGGGTCCTGGGTGTGACCAGCTCCCAGAACCCCCCAACACCACCAGCCCTGGCAGCAGGAAGAGCTTTTGTGCATCCGTCCGGCCACATCTGCCACAGCAGCCTTAAAGCAATGTGCTTGTGCATGAGTTTGAGTCTTTCATTTGTATTCTCTTTCACTTTGGGCTTTTTGTTTTGTCCTCATCTTAGTAATGATTGATATTCTCCAGGCTTGTTCAAGGAGGTGATACGTGGTTAAAAGAGGCACATTATTCACTAGGGAGGTAGGACTGTGATTTAACCAGATCTTCTGCAAAAATCTGGTTTGATTGGGGTGATCTATTGCTGAATTATTAGTTTTGGTAATTCCTTCTCGTTGGTGGGACAATCTTTAATTTTCTAAAGATAGCTCAAAGACCAGCCCCGCAGCCACCGCCTGCACCCTGGACGCTCCTCGCTGCCTTCTTGTGTGTGTGCACGTCTCAGCCGAGCCCGAACCCCAACCCAGCGAGTCCCGGGGCCACCCCTGCAGGTGCTGAGGCCTCCTGAGCATCCCCCAACACCCATGGGTGCAGGGAGCCCCAGCCCCACACAGCGTCCGCGCTGGGCCCAAGACACGGGACCGCGGATCAGGAGCTGGTGCTGGCCCCATCGGTGCTGGGCGAGCATGGGCTGGCTTCAGCTTCGCCCCCCGTGGGTTTGTATACATGTATGTGCGTGTGTATACATGTATGTACTGTAGATATATACACTGTATAAATAGCCTCACTCACATATACATATATTATAACTGTAGCAATTACAGACTTCTCGTGGTTTCTTGTTTTAAGTCCATTTTTCCTATTCTTTTTTCCTTGCTTTTTGTTTGTTTGGGGTTTTTTTGCTTCATGTAAGCGAGTACATCGTATCCGCAGCCCTCTCCGAATTGGCTGATGCCAAATCTGGATCTTTATTCCTCGTGGCAAAGGAACTGCATCTATTTTAAGATGCCTTTTTGTTTTGTTTCCTTGTTTGTGTTTGTGTTTTGAGCAGCAGGTGGGTTTGAGACTGGCTTTAGCGATTCCCAGTACTTAGCGACGGATGCCTTGGCTATGGGATGCATAGATAACAAATAAAATACATTAACATTTAGAATGAAAGAAAGATAAGGAAAAATATCTAAAGCATCAATAAAGTTAAAATCTATTTTTGTACAAATGTAATTTTATCCCTTCCGTATTCTTGGCTATTTTCTTTCTGGATGGTTTTGTTTCTTCTACAGAGATTGTTATAAACTCTCCATTCTCTCTCTTTCTCTCACATGTGCAGCCCCAGGGACAGGGATCTGGAGAGGAGGGAGGAATTCTGACGCGTTTTAAAGGCTTTATATGAAATCTCTTTTGAAATAATTTTTTGGGATGAACTTTTTATTTTTTCCCCCCACTTCCAAGATCTCCTTTTGGGGGGTGGGGGGGAAGGGGCTGGTCTGGGGGTGTCTTTTGTCACGTATATCCGGCGTTCCCGCAGGTCTGTTTTACTGTGAAATCACTACCGTGTATTATTATTCACTTTAAAAAAGGAAAAAAAAACCAAAAAAAAGGAAAAAAACCCAAGAATTGCTGCTGGAAACGCCAGTGTTTGATGAACAGTTGTATCGGAATTGTGGGAAAAGAGAAAAAAAAAGAGAAAAAGAAAAAAGGAGAAAAAAAAGAAGAAAATATATGAGCATTTTAAAATATAACCCGGTCCAAGTCCTCTTTTGTTCTTCACCAGTGTGTCTGCAGTGATTCCTTCAGGTCCCCCCATCGGAGGTCCCCATCGCCCCCATTCCCAGGGGACCATCCCTGCAAGACCGAGGCCAGGTAACCCCAGCCTGGCTGTGGGGGCAATAGTCAGACCAGTGTGTGTAGACCAGCTCCAGCATCCCTCTGGAGCCACATCCGTGCCTGCGGAGCAGCAGTGCTGCTGCCAGGAGGTGCTGGGCGCCCTGGAGCAGCGGGTGTGTGAACAGGAGCCGTTAGCACTGGCCTCAGCTTAACCTGGATTTGTTGCCAGGTACAAACAAGATTGAACTTGCTCTTGGCTTTACAGTGGAGATAAATCCTCCCCGACGGCTGCAGAGCCGGTCAAGTAGAGAAGGAAAATAAAGAGTTTCAATTTGGTTAGTGACGATCCGTGTCTCTCGCTTGGCTGCAGTGCTTTTTCATTTGGAAGCCCTGGGAGGAGGCAGGAAGGGGGATGATCCCGCTCAGCCCCATCCTGCTGCTCACATTCATCCCCTGTCCTGCTCCCTGATGCCCCCAGGGACC